TTCTAAGGGCGACCTGACGGGTTACTCGCCAGCGGCCTGCTGGGCTTACCGCGCAGCCCACAGCTGCCTGTGGGACTGGGAGCTCTGTCCCCCGCCGGAGGGCTTTAGGCTCCAGAGCTGCCTCGCTTGCTGGCTTCGGCGCGTTCGCCCTGCTCGACGGTGCCGGGCTCACTCAGTTTAGGATTTAGGGTTTAGGATTTAGGTTTCAGGGGCCTCCTTCTCTGGAGGCCTCGAAAGATTTAGGATTTAGGGTTTAGGATTTAGGATTTGGGATTTAGGGTTGGATTTAGGATTTAGGGTTCAGGATTTAGGATTTAGGATTCATGGTTCGCCGCCTGGGGGCTCCTGGAAGCCTTTAGAGGGTGCCAGACGCTTCTGTCGAGGGCTTTGCTAGGGCCCTAGGTCTGTTGGGGTCCTTTGGAGGGCAATGGAGCTCTTGGAGGCCCTTGGAGGCCTCTTTTGGGGTTTGTTGGGCGTCATTTTCCGGTGCAATAACCAAAACCACCAAATCTGACACAATTAGGATTTGGGCCAGCTGGGCTTCTTCGCGCGGTGCAAGCAAAACCACATCCTTATTGATGCCTTCAAACCTTTCTTACGGCAGTGTGAAAACCAAAACTGCGTCCTTTTAGAGCTGAGCAAGCCGTTTTCAAGTGGCGCTTTAACCAAAACCGAGTGATTTCCATCGCATTGGCTGCTTCCATCACGAACTAGCACACCCTGAGTCCCCACTTGAGATAGATTGATATATATATACACAAACGGGCTTAAAGGCTGTTGGAAATTTCTGAAGTGACGCAGGCAGGTGGCGAGCGAGGGGAAGAAGTGGTAAAATGTTAAATGAAAAGAGATTCTGGGAAGCTGGGTGATACCAAATATGTGTAATGATGAAACAAGCCTTGCTCGCTTCCAGCTCTAGCTAATCGTGAATCTTAAACCCTAAACCCTAAACCATCCTAAACCCTAAACCTAAATCCTACACCCTAAGCCCTAAACCATCAATCCTAAACCCTAAGTTCTAGACCCTAACCTTTAACCCTTAATCCCCAACCCTAAGTTCTAAATCCTAAACCCTAAAGCCTTCAAGATGAGAAAGCACATTACCATAACCTAGGGTCCCAACTCTCATTGTCATGCCATTTCCCTATTCTCTTTTTTAACATTAAAGGGTTTCGGGTTTAGGATGAGCCCCCCCAATCTCAAAGTAAATGGAATACACCCAAATCATTTTGATTTCGTTTGAGAACTCTAGGGTTGGGCGGAGAGGCGCAAGGGTTTTCATTGCTCACGGTTTGCTGGGGTTGGGGAAAGATGTAGGGTTAAGGGTTCAAGTAAGATGGGGGGGTTCCAGAACCTTTGTTCTGGGACCCTAAACCCAAAATCTGTAAACATCCGCATCCTATGGAAGATTGGTGAGTGTAGACATGGGGCGTCACATGGTTTAGGGGTTTGCGGTTTCAATTGTTTAGGGGCTGTCCTTCCAACACACACGCACACAAGCACAAATTGAAATCTGCCTCATTTGAATATCAATGTGACCTGCATAGAAAAAGCTCACCCAAATATTCGACCTCCTTTTGAGCAGATACAGAAAACCCATCGAAAAAACCACTAAAACCTAGGAGATATGGAGCGAATATCGTTCCTGGATCGGGATGGCGATGGCGCGGCCAGGGTTGGATTCGACCCTAACTTGATTGCCTAAGATTTACACGGAGAAATTTGAAGATCATGACTCGAGAATCTCCTCAAGATTAGTTGGGAGAATATATCTTAGATCTATCTTCCAACTTCCACTTTGGAGCGGGGCAGGCTGACGTCACTTGCAGAAGCGCTAATGTTTAATGGAGGGGTTCGGATTAACAACAGTTTCGGGCAAATTATTTAGAATCAGCTATTGTTTGAAGAGTTCGGAATAATGAAAAGCTCTGGGGACCCCAAAAAGATAATTGTGTCTGAGTCCTAAATGTGTTCATACTTGTCTTATTTTAGCTAAGAAAAGCAATGCAGAAACAGCCTGCTGAAAAGGCTCAGAACTTTCAGCTACTAAGCCAGATACTAGCAAAGCTATGAGTTCGCGAAAGCCAGATACTAGCTAGGAGCCCGTGAATTCCGTCAAGCCCGT